AACCTTCTTTCCTCCGCTGTTTCGTGGATCGTATAGCCTCTTTGATGACGCTCGACGTCGCTGTGTTCTCGTATTCAACGTATCAGCAGGTGGTCTCGAAAAGCACCGAAATCCAAAAGTAGACGATATCTTTCGTTACCTTCCGCTTGGCATCTGAACGTGGACATTCCACCCATCAATCGCCTTCGACGAAGTTCCTCCATGTCGCGACAAAACTCCGTGTCTGCGGTACACGCAGACACAGAAACTTCACCAAATATTCTGTACTAGTTTTGCTATCTTCCAAGGCAGTCGCTGCTGTCGAGCGTAAACACCCCGGATAATCTACTTCCACTTATCCATACCCCTCAACCGGATAATCCCCGCGTCAGTACACCATTCGCTTTTCCTCTTTGAAAGGGTTATCCTTCAGTATATAAGTGATCAAGAAATGGATGCAACCAGCATCGGTTCCAAACATTCGTCACAGGCTCATCATGTTCCGAACAGCAGCTCTCCTCTCTTTCGCTTACCTCGCCGTTGTATACGGCCAGCAAGCCGGAACAAGCACCGCTGAGACTCATCCTCCGCTCACCTGGGAACAGTGCACTAGTGGTGGCTCATGCACTACCCAGTCTTCATCGGTCGTGCTTGACTCCAACTGGCGATGGACTCATGTAGTGGGCGGCTACACCAACTGCTACACCGGAAACGAGTGGAACGCAACTGTATGCCCCGATGGAACTACCTGTGCTGCCAACTGTGCTCTTGATGGGGCTGACTACGAAGGTGAGGGCTGTTGTTTCGATTCGTTGTCTTCGATCTTTCGACGTTCAAATATCTTCACAGGAACCTATGGTATCTCCACGAGCGGAAATGCTCTGACTCTCAAATTCGTCACTGCTTCTGCTCAGACAAACGTCGGCTCCCGTGTGTACCTTATGGCCCCCGGTAGCGAGACAGAATACCAGATGTTCAACCCATTGAACCAAGAATTCACCTTTGATGTTGACGTCTCAGCCCTCCCCTGTGGTCTCAATGGTGCATTGTACTTTTCGGAAATGGATGCAGACGGTGGATTGGTACGTTTTCCACGGTATGATACATCCTCGACCATCCTCTCATTTCTCGTAATCTAGTCTGAATATCCTACTAACAAAGCCGGTGCAAAATACGGCACTGGATATTGTGACTCGCAATGCCCCAGAGATATCAAGTTCATTGAAGGAAAGGTCAGACTCAGATTCAATGGGGTGTCTTTGCTTATTGCTCACTGTTCTTCCGATAGGCTAACGTCGAAGGCTGGACTCCTTCTAGCACTAGTCCGAATGCTGGAACTGGTGGAACCGGTATTTGCTGCAACGAGATGGACGTGAGTCGTATTCCCTGATCCATCTGCATCAACTAGTCAGATATTGAATCTGGATATTCTCCAGATCTGGGAAGCCAACTCTATCTCTGAGGCCCTTACTCCTCACCCCTGTACTGCGCAAGGAGGAACCGCCTGTACTGGCGACTCTTGCTCTTCACCCAACTCAACGGCGGGTATCTGTGACCAAGCAGGATGTGACTTTAACTCGGTGAGTTCTAAGCATACAAGTGAACTATTCACATTGGAGCTGATAAGAAATGTTCTTGACAAAGTTCCGTATGGGCGACACCAGCTTCTACGGCCCAGGTCTCACAGTCGACACCACTTCCAAAATAACCGTGGTCACCCAATTCATCACTTCGGACAACACCACCACCGGTGACCTCACTGCCATTCGTCGTATCTACGTCCAAAATGGTCAAGTCATCCAGAATTCGATGAGCAACATCGCCGGAGTCACCCCTACTAACGAAATCACCACCGACTTTTGCGACCAACAAAAGACCGCTTTCGGTGACACGAACACTTTCTCCGAAAAGGGTGGACTTACTGGCATGGGTGCCGCTTTCAGTCGGGGCATGGTCCTCGTTCTCAGTATTTGGGATGATGATGCCGCTGAGATGCTTTGGTTGGACTCGACTTACCCTGTCGGCAAAACTGGTCCCGGTGCTGCCCGTGGAACTTGCGCAACTACTTCCGGACAGCCCGATCAGGTTGAGACTCAGAGTCCTAATGCCCAGGTTGTCTTCTCCAACATCAAGTTCGGAGCTATTGGATCTACTTTCAGCAGCACTGGTACTGGCACCGGCACCGGCACCGGCACTGGTACTGGTACTGGTACGGGCACTACTACCTCCAGCGCGCCAGCAGCCACTCAAACAAAGTATGGCCAATGGTAAGCTCAAAATCAACTCATATCTTGATTGCCATCTCATTCATCAAATCTACAGCGGAGGTCAAGGCTGGACGGGCGCTACTGTTTGTGCAAGTGGTTCAACCTGTACGTCGAGCGGGCCTTACTACAGTCAATGTTTGTAGTGTCGCGGTGAAAATTTCTATTACTTCTCGACATATTGGCCGTATTTATCTCAATATGTACTCAAATGTCTTTTATTGTGACTGTACGTCGATGAAAAAATATATAGATTCGAAAGATTATACCGCATCAAGCATGACCATGACTATGGTCGATATTTCTCCTCCGCATTCCATTTGCGTGATTATCTCCAAAAATACAACCAAAACCATCCTTTGAAGGTACCTTGCATGTCCCTAATAGCTCGTCACCGGATCCACCCACCATTGTCTGTGTCTGGCTATCCATTCCTTGCGGATGCACCTCTGGAGAAATGGTGGCGTGTGCGACTCCATACTCGGAGAAGCAATGATGTATAATCTGTTCCGTTTTTCCCCATTCCTCAAAACTCGTTCCTGACGGTACACAGACATGTAAAGAAGCGAGGATTTCGGTTTGCGATAAATGCCAGACATGGAGGTCATGTATCGACACCACGTTCGGGATTCCACTGAGATCGTCTGTGACTTTCTGCAAGTCCAAGCCAATCGGTGCAGCTTCTAGTAGAATTCGACCCGTACGTATAGTGAGAGGGATGGCTGTTCCAAATATGATGAAGCTTATGAGCATGGAGGCGGCAGGGTCAGCATAGAACCGATTGGGTGAAGTGAGCTTCAATATCAGTATAGCCGCACTGACAACGCCAATATCTTGTAGCCGAGTTAGCGACGACAGAATAATCGACAAACATTTGGAAACAGACTGTTTATAGCGTCACCACAGAGGTGAATAAGAACGGCGAGCATCCCGAAATTATGTGAATGGTTTTTTGAAAGCTTCCGAGTGTTCGTATGGTTATGCCCGGCATGCTATAAACGATTCACGGAAGGGTGTAGATAGACTGAGGTGTTGAAACTTACGGCTAGCATTATCTCATCCGACATCTCGATTGCATGTGGAATTCCACTTTGTCCATCTGAGTGGCCGTGATTGTGAGAACCGTGATCTACGGCTACTTGTTGATTAAGTTAGAGGTGAATGATAAAGTTAATAACGTGCCGTGCACAAGTAAAACGCTGAGAATGTTGAGTGCAAGACCAACACATCCGACGATGAGGATATCTTTCGGGTCTTTTACTTGCTCAATCGTGATGAATCTCTCCAAAGATTGTAGAAAAATCGAAAGGGCAAGAGCAAGAAGGAACACTCCATTGAAGAAAGAACCTGCGCCACACATCAAACCCAGGTTCTGATCATACTACTGCAGAAAAAACGTACCGACAAGTTCAGCTCGATGGAAAGCGTATGTAAAGCCTTCTATCTAGAGCGGGAAGGTGAGTATCGATTATTGGCGTGTTGCGCATTATTACACGGACCGCGTGCCCTCGATCTTGAACCTGTGAACGATCAAAGGATTCAGAGGTAAAGTCAATCGCAACTAATATGCTGCACGTACATACGCCGCTAAAAATGCTATCGCACTAAGCGCAGTTTATTTTCAAGTAGGGAGCAGAGGGAAAATATACAGACTATGCAACCACGTCCTATAATTTGTTCCATATCAAGCGAGGAAACGAAAGAATTTAATTAGATAGAACCTACGTTCAGATAGTGAAACTGGGTAGCAAGATCTAAGAGATATAACGTTATCTCAAGGGTTGATATTGTGTACATACCGCATCCGCAATCAGCGCGATACTGCTCGTTCTGAAGCCCACTGCATCCGTGTTCACACTAATCCGGAGGCGACGAGGGGAGATTTACTTGCCTGATATTTCTGCAACAAAAAACGCGGTACTTATCGCAAGTACGAGTGCGAGTTTATTGGTGCTTTTCATGATGCTAGACCGATTTAAGGGAAAACGAGATGGGCATCGCGGTGAAAGGACCACTTTATATGTAAATATTGGAGAATACCACGTGGGATCATATCCTAGTCTGTGCTAGCCTGTAAGTGCGGGGCCACCGCCTTGCTTGCAATGTTACTCAATGTTAGCATATCCTTCAACGTATATACTATATTCGCTGCAAGTGAATGGGCTTGAATGTGCCCGTGGATCCAGGCTGTTTTTGATGGAACCGTGTATTTCTATCTGCTCTACCCATGTTCCCATTCCCTCCCATTTCATACAAGCCTGAAGTTGCACGATGGACCATACCGAACTATATATGTACACTATGCAGACAGCAGCAGTTAAATCATGCACCAATCTTCAAACATATGGTAATGATTATTTCTTGTACATGTACCACTTGGTCGATCTTCCTCAATCTCGAAAATCCACTATACAGTACAAAGTATTACGAAAAACGGCAACCGCGTTGAAGGAATATAGCCTAAGGTCAATGGGGCCCGCGGCCGACAACTAAAAATGGAACAATCAAAGATCAGTTGTACACCGACCTGTTGAATCCTCTCAGTAATCAAATCTGAGACAAAAAAGTCAGCATACGTCTGACCTCGTCTGACGAGAGTGAACGAAACTCCTGCTGTGCGTCTAACGTAGGAAAAATACACGAGCGCTCGATAAATCATTTGTTCAGTCCGCTCATTATATTACAACTACAAATCATCACCACAGTATGCTAAAAAGGCTATTGATACAGATATTGCCCGTAAGTATGGCAGTAGTAAGAAAACAGAGTCCATTTACTCATATATGACCTTGCCAGTTATATGGCACCAGTAGCCCGGGTCCATGAACGTCTACCGAATCCAGATCCGGTAAACTGAAATCCCGCGGATGTGGAAGAAGAGGCGGCGGTGGCGGAGGGAGCAGAAAGAACAGTAAAAGAGGTTATAGCGGAATCTGTGGCGGAGTTTACATCCGTTGAGGCAACAAGGGAAGAAGAAACAGCAGATGATGACGAAGAAGCAGCATCAGTAACAAGGGGAACCGAACTACTCGCTGTCGATGACGCTGCTGAGATGGCAGAGTCACTCAAAACAGAGGCTGAAGTAGTTGCAGCGCTTGAACCCGAGGCAGTCGTAGGAATTGAAAGCACCGCAGTGGCGGTCCCGGTTTGTCCCGGCACAATCAGAAACATAGTAGTCGTCACTGTAACTGTTGCTCCGGATGTAGCGAGAGTATCAGTGGTACTGGAACTGGATGAGGTAATAGTAGTGGAGGAAGTAATAGCGGCGGCAATTGAAGAAGCTGAGGACGAAGATGCAACGCCTGGACTCCCGATAGCGGATGCGGCTATTGTGCCCGAGGAGATGCTAGCAATTGCGGCGGTACCAATGACTGAGTCAGTGTTAATGCCAGTGGAAGAAGGAGATGATGTGGCGACCGCAACGTCTGAAAAAGATGAAGTGGAAACTGAGGTGGTCAAGTCGGCTGATGCAGTGGAAAGGATTTGTCGGCCTCGGATAGCACGACGGACAGGTACCGAGGATGAAGTTGGAACAATGGTAGAGGAAACGGAAACCGAACTCGGGTTGAGAGTGAATAAATTTTGTGCGACGCTGGGAGACGCAGTTGCTGACCCAGAGGCGGTCGCTGCACTAGCAGAAGCCGCGGAAGCTGAGAGAGCACTGGCGATAGACGCAATAGCAGCTGAAACTGAGGCGGTCGGGAAAGCGCCATCAGTGCCAGCAGGGATATCGATGACGGTTGTAGTCGAGTCTGAATTGGATGCGGATGTTGTGGCATTAGACGATGAAGTCACAGTGGTCGTCACAGAGCCCGCAGATGAAAGGATTGGCGCAGTAGCTGTTACGACTTCGCCGGTGCCGAGAGCAGGAGACGATGCGGACGCGACAGCGGTGACCACAGTTACAGAGGCAGTGGGAAAGGTAGTCGTTTCATCCCCGCAGTCCATGCTGGTGGCAGTCATGGAGTTTGACGTGATATCAGGCTCATCATCGTCACCACAATCAGAATCATCTCCAGTATCAGTGGAATTGGCGTTGCTGGCACTAGAAGTAGTGTTGACAGCACCCGCGGTCGATGTCGTGGTCGTGGAGTTGCCGAAAATTCCACCCTCTACGCCGGCGGCCTGTATTCTTGCCTCTACATCAGCTTCGGTATCGCAGCTAATTGATGTACCATTACTGTTTAGTAACGGGAGGGCAAAGCAGGATAGGCCTGAAGAGCATGGCGTCAAGCTGAACGTGGAGCCAGTACATTGGGCGAAAGCGCCGTTAACGCAAGCATCTTGGCCAGCTAAGATGCATTTTGTCAGTCTACTTGAATGAAGTGACAAGCAATCCTGATACTCACTCGTGCATGTGGAATTTTCAGTCATAGCTGCGAATGCAGCGTTCTGCGCCTGAGCCATCAGGCCATTTTGTTTTTGTACCTCTACAGAGGCAGCCCGTCGATGAATCGAAAAGAAGTCCGTAAAGCGATGGGCCGGTTTGCTAAGAAGAGTCGGGGCAGCGTTTACAGAAGCCACCAGGGCAAGGACAAAAGTCGAGGAAAATTGAGGAAACATGGCTGAAGTTGTTCGTGTAAAGAGAGTAAGTCTATCTTCTTATCGTTTCTGGTCGTCAAGCACCTGGCTTCTAAGAGTCTACTTGGGTTGAAAGGAAAGTGAAAAAAGTGAAAAGAAACCGGGAGTAAGATGTGTGAGGGATGCATCTGCTTTTGGGGGTCTTTTATATATCCCATCTCACAAAGAACAATAGACGTTTTGTGAGCTCGGCAACGTGTCACGAAGCACGAAGTGATGTTTATGGAGGCTATTGTTCTTGGTGGTCATTGTTCGAGAAATTTCCCACGTCGCAAGACCTCAAAGTCAAAACCTGGTCAATGCTTACGCCAATAGGGCTGCTCAATTCTTGCCTCACCTCACCTCACCTCACGAGCTGTCACGAAATTCCGCTTTTGGATGTCCGATTGATCGGCACCATATGTGTAATATACAGTAGTTGCAGCAAGACTTTATATTCATTATGCCTCAGTCTCTCAGATTACTTGTGCAGAGGTGCTGAATGAGTTGTTCAATGTCGCGCAAGCCTTTACTGTTGCCTACTGTTGCCTCTCACCTCATGGAAGCTCATGGAGGATTCTGATAACTCCAATGATGATTCCTTTCAACATGATAATGGCTTTGAAGATGAAGAAGCACAAAATTTCGATGGAGAATTTACTGATAGTGTTGTTGTAAGGTAGGTGTACCAGCTACATACCATCAATGAACGAAGATGAACCGGACAGTCTTGTCGAATGAAAATGAGAGGATGAAAACGAGAAAACAAGGCGACGGTAAATCAGCCCGGATCAATCAGACATCCAAAAGCGGAATTCCGTGACAGCTCGTGAGGTGAGGCGGTGAGGTGAGGCAAGAATTGAGCAGCCCTAATCATTTGCATTTCCGCTTTGTTGTCGTCACGGTCAGTCGTATCAAAATTGAGACCTAGGAGATGCGAACATCATTGGTGTCTGCAGTATTTGCGCCGGTCATGGTCAAGCCGTGCACTGCCCCACTATCATCTTATGAGGTTTGCAGCCAGCCAGCTCTCCCGCTCCGTGTAGAGTCCAGAGAAAATGAACGGGAATATTTACAAAACCAGATGACTTGTCAATTTCGAATAAATGAACATCCGACGTTTGACTTCATTGAAGAAGTGCAGTATTTTGAATAGTACGCATACGATGTGCGCGCAAGATAAAATACGAAGGACACAACCACATGCAGTACCACGCTCAATCTTTCTGTTTATTACACCTCTTCTTATGTTCCGTCCAGTGCAGCTTCTGGCAAGACGCGTCACAATATCTGGATAGAAAGGTATCAGTCTTATTGATCGGGTAGACGTCCAGTTCAAGATTCACCTCGTTTGAGAACAACCTGAACATTTCTTCAACATAGCACTAGGATTCTTACACCACGAGCATTGATACAGCAGCACACTGTTCAAATTCACCTTTGGATGGGCAGCTACCCTTTTTGCAGGGGATTCGTCATCCAGCTGTAGGTCGTTCAAGAAATTGTTCAGGTCATTCTGAACCTTTTCCGAGTCAGGCAAAACTTCAGGTTGTTTTTCACTCGAGTTGTTTAATCGTAAAATGACTTCCTCCCATTCGGAGACGGCTGCGGAATATTGCTCTACGATGGCGGCTTGGGCGAGACGCAACTGAGTATTAGGTATCGGCTGGGAGAAAGCGCGGGTGAAGTCGTCAGATTCTGATAGTTTTTTGAGGGAGGACTAAGCACAACATTAGACCATCGTAGTCCTGACATCTTTGAACGAGACGTACCTTTATTTCTTCCAGATTAGGATTGAGTTCAGGCCCTCGAATGATAATAGCAAGTAGAATGTTCCAATATAGAACATTCCTCATATGTCGATTGTCCGGAGGCGCCTCCGCAAGGAAAGTGTTGGAGTCGGTCCAAGCGCTCATAAAGAACGCCACTCCTTCTTCCCATTTTGGATCCTCAGCGGATGAAGCCTGTTCAAGTGTTTGCAACCCCAGTTGGCCCGCATTCTCCACCGCCCTCTGCAGCAGTTGGAATCGTATGAACGGCGAAGTCTGCTTACACTTCAACCCCTTTTTCGCCGACCTCAACACCACGGCAGGGTCCGCGAGCAGACTTTGAGCATACTGAAAGTAAGCCATATTCGGATTTCGCAAAAGACCCTTCGAACCAACTTCAGCGGCAGCACGGATGTTTGCTTGCATGATCAAATACTTGATGTCTAGTATATCAGCCTTGTCGAGCTCTCCAGGCGCGGCTCTTTGCCGAAAAACTCTTGCGCATTGTGGTAAGGCTTCCCGGAATGTTTTGAAAGGGAGTCCAGTGTCGAACGTGGCCTTTTGCCGCTTTCCCGTGCGTGGATCTTCTTCCTCGAAAGCACCGTCAGGTATTGAAAACTCGGTTTGGACAATAAGATCTGCTAGGATCAGCCCTAGCTTATGCAGGTCCCGATCCTGTAGAACAGACATGATTGCACGTTGGAATTGTGATTCCGTAGTCTTCATGATTATCGTCTCTGAGCGTAGAAGGCCGTAGTCGCCTAGTATGTCCATAAGATGGTCAGGAAGGCGCTGTCGGGCATGCTGGAAGAAGGTCCTGAGGTCAAGGTTGCGAGTATCTGTCTCAGCTTTCATTCGAAATAAGCGGAGCACACCGTTGAGACAGGTGGTCCGATTTTCCCATTCAGTGCTCCGCAGACCCGCCACAAGAAAGTGGACAGAGGAAGGGTTCGCGAACATGGCTTCAGAGCAGGTTTCTGCAGAGAGAGAAAGCATGCGAGCGCCATGCTCGATAAGAAATTTCGACGCGAATGGTTTTTTGATCTGTAGAGTAACCTCCTTGATAACCCGGGCCATATCAAGAGTTTTCAGCAGTGCAACATCGGACTGATTATCTTGTTGAGTGTCTGACAATTTGACAAGTACAGGTACTACAGAATGAGAGAAAATAGTGATGATCAGCTCCGCGATGTTTTCGTCGTCAGAGTGTTCTTCGAGTAAGCCTACCAGCGCAGGGGTAAGTTTGGATATCTCTATAAAGAGGTCTGAAGAGCCAAAGTGAGCCACGCTAGACAGTGCACGGAGAGCAAGATGTCGACAATAGTTGCTATCAAGAAGCCGTACTATTTTCGAGAGGAAGCCTGAATAGAGAAGGTAAGAAACGTAGGGAGAATGAAGTATGTATGTCGGTTATTACTGGCCTCGTTGAAATAATTTGTCTCTCAGAATCGCATCTGCACACATCTTGGCATAAATTCCAACTATTCCAATCAAAATACGCTCATTCCTCTCATATTTCGTGTATGCTCCATCTAGACGTCGCCATATAGCATCAAAATTGGAATGTACACGTCTAAGCCCGCTTCTACTATTCAGGTCTACGAAATGAATTAATGAAGTCAAAAACCTTCCCGGATGATAGACGTACCAGGAATGTTGAAGTAGTCGCACAGGATGTCCACAGTGCGATTCCATCCTTCTGCATTACCAATTTCCTCCACATACGACTCAGACACCAAGCTACGCGCCCCTGAGGATTTGGATACTGACAACTCATTGGCAGTATTCGTCTTCGGATGCTTCTTTGCTCCATTCTTTTTTCCTCCTGGTCCAGGCATCTTGAAACTCTTGCGTGAAAATGCAAGCAGATAAATGAATAACAGATACAGATAACAGGATGGATAGCGAATAGATGATAAGTAGTTCGCAAACAAGTCGATTTATTAGGGTTAGTTCTGCGCAAAATGAAATTTCACTTCGGCTGAGGCTCGGGGAAATACTGTATGTATTGCATTCTCCTAAATAAGCTTGTAGTTACGCATAACGCTTAATTTTTCCGACGAAATTTTGTGCAGAACTAACCCATACAGTATGTACCACCATCGCCAAAAACTGAACGAGATGCACGTGGCGCACCTTTCATCTCAATGAACATGCACCTTTCACGCTCGGCTGTCGTTGAAGATCGTAAAATAGGCTCAGCTAGAACTTATTGGATGACTTCCTGGGGGCAATGTACATGGAAAACTCAATTGTGGTCGATCAAAGCATTTCATAAGTTCTCTAAATGAATATGCGCGCGTCAGTACAGCCTTGCCTTGTAGGGCCTTCTTCACATTCATTCCCCAGTCAGGTTCTCATACTTTCCGACACGCCGCATTTACATATCACGATCTACAGGATTGATATGAGTATAAAAGGCCTCACAGTTCATGTTTACAGCGCTACTGTACCTTCGCTTTCTCATGTCTCAGAACGTCAGCGCAAACTTGTCAGATCTTGTCATTCGTGAAGTTCGTCGTATAACTAACTCCCGGTTTCGCTCTAATTTTCAATGCAATCTGCTTTTACCAAGGTCACATCTGGCATATGGACATTCTCTCGGTGACCAAGTTGTTTTTGGCCCTAAATATGTCTTCATTAATCATGCAACAAAAAGACCCTTCGGACGAGGTCCTCTTGGACTTTTACCCTGGGGAGGTCGCTCAACTGCCATCAAGCTTTCAACTGGCGATGTATGGGTACTTGCCTCAACACCACTCACTGAAGACACAAAGTCTGCCATAGACGCCCTGGGGGCGGTCAAGTCAGTTTAATCTTCATTTTCTCACTACCGATAGATTACCTTCTCGATAGGTGGATTATCGCTGCCGACATTGTGCATCATCTCTTCATTGGTTAGTCATCCCTCGCCGAGTTTTTGCACTTGTTCGATGACTTATCTGAAGGTCAGTACAAGAAAGAATATCCAGAAGCAAAGGTCATTGGTGTCGAGGGGCTAAGAGAGAAAAAGAAGCAGAGCAAGGAAGATCTAATCATCGACGGGGGTATGTAATTGCGTTACCACCAGTCAACATTACCTTTATTCCGTTCAGAATACGGCACCGACCCACATGAGACACTCTATGGGTTCGAAAATGAGGTTAGTGCCACGAAAAATCACAACATTGAAAGATTAACCTGGTGACCATATTTCACTCGCAGATCAAAGCTTGGTAGGTGTGCCTATATGCAACGCAACGTCCTAATTGACAGTCGTACTAGTTTTTTCTCGGGATTCGCCAACAAAGACATCGCATTCCTGCACGTTGCAACCAAGACTTTGATTGTCGCCGACCTGTTGTTCAATCTTCCTGGGACTGAACAGGTATGTTGTCCGAACCTAACAACCTAGCATCCTGTATGCTGATGTTGGGTACTTCTATAGTATTCTAAGTCGAAGATCTCCCCGAAAGTGCCAATCATAGGCAAACTAAATCCAACAAGCACTATCCTCAAACGATTGCTTTGGACAATCGGAAAAGACAAAGAGTGAATTTTACGCTCAAGTCTCATATGGTTTGCGCTGCTAACTAATCCTCTTATGCGCCAGTGCAATGCGACGGGATGCGAAGATCGTGCGCGAGTGGGATTTTGAGAGAATCATAATGTGTCATGGAGTGAGTGGTTGTCTTCAATATCACCCAGACGCTGAACTGTGATGTCGATATAGGACGTGATCGAGACGGGGGGCCAGAGAGCATGGGAGGAGGCTTACTCCAAATACCTGTCCTAAAGACCTCAAGGGATACGCATTTCACTTTATTAAGTTCCTACTTCATACTCGCGATATCTACTATCATTACACGTGAAACAGGCGTGTTTTTTTGTCGCTGGTGGTATATATTTGACTTGTATTATTATATGTAGGTCTTGATCTTTAGCTTTCTTAGAATGGATCAAGCTAATTGTGAAATATCATATGCCGGACTCCGTATGAATTCAGTAGTATTGAGCTGCTATTAGTTATCACTTTTAACGCTTCGTCATTGTACCGAAGCCGTGCTTAGGCATCAAAAACTGAGAGGTGGGATAAGGGTCAGGAGTATCGATGTAATTGTATGGAGACTACATAGAACGGCAATGCCACTACCCGAAAAAATGGGGTATTCATAGACGTGTGCCAGTGTATACTACCATATCACATATAAGTACGAAGTCCTGGGCTGTCCGAATGACAAACGACCCATCTGTATCTTCCTTACGATGATCATTGTGCACCACCTCAACAACAGTCGCGCACAACGCATTCTTTGGCTTTTGGTAAGGTGTTCTTGGCGTTCATCGTGCTCCGCTCTACCTCAACCGTCCGCTGAATCACAACTGTGAACTTGGGGCTCGTCAGGAGGAATTAAATGTACCGTACGAGGTTCGAAAATATCAGCGTATGCCGAATTACAAGGCGCCGCCATCTCTCCTTGAGATACACCCGTTAGGAAAATCTCCTGTGATAGAAGATAGCAATGAAGGTGAACATATAGTTCTAGCCGAAAGCAGCGCGATCATCAGTAAGCATTCTGTTTGAAGCCGCTGTTCACGTTGATAACTTTCACGCTTTGAACCGAAGTGTATCTGCTTCAAAAGTACGGAGGTAAGCAGACTTTGAGTTCAGCAGGAACGTTAGACGACCTGTATTGTGAGTGTAAGTTCTATGATGAATCGAAATATAATATACTCACCTCCCCCCGCTCTACTCGCTGCCACAGATACATACTATGCCGAATCAACTCTGAGGCCTCTGATTGTCGTCCGGCAAAGATTATCCCGTTTCGCGGATCGTGCCCCATGGTACCTCCGACCTTTATTCCGTTATGTTCTTGAAGCCTACAGGGTGATGTACGTCGACCCGGAGCTTCCACGAAATAGTCAAATGGTGAACGGCGTTGGATATCAATATTCTCAATCAGCCTGAGTTTAACCTGCTCGTAGATTCAAGAACACCTCAGCAACAACCCGTGGTTCGCTCGAGGATCTGATGGTCCAACTGCTGCAGATTATGCAATGATCTTTGGATTAGAGGGATTAATTGTTGAAAGAGCAATTACGCCAGAGAGCCATCCCGCTATAACGAGATATATAGACAAGATCCATGCTCGGTGAGTTTGATAACGCGGGTTGATGATGTGGAACTCAGTTGTCTCCGTTTTTGTGTAATATTTGTAGACCTGCATATCGAGCAGTAAGTTCTCAGAGTCATTGGGGTTTATGTTGCTCACCAAGGACATGATGCAACACAGGCACTGAAAAAAGGCGCGGAATGATCATGTACATAGGAATAAGGATGACGGACGTATTAGGTGAAGTTATTGAACGTACACTTCAGTGGAAAATGTAGAGAGAAGATTCATTCACTCGAGTCTCGCGTCCTGTGTAATAGAACATTACTGCCTATCTAATATGCATGTCTATGCATGTACCATGATAGGCTGACGAAACACCAAGAAGGCTCCCATTTAACGCTGCAGCTGAGGCCGGGGATGATACTCGCTCAACAGCTCCTTCACAGTCCTTCACCACTTCCTCGAGACGTTTCTCTGCACTAGAGAGTCTTGGGCTGGTGTTCAAAGACCAGAGCCTGCTTTGAGGTATCATCGATATGTGCAGAGAAATACGAAGGGCGGCGATTCATTCCTTCATTTGAGAACGAGTAATAACTACCCAAGTCGAATGTTGAAGCCTTGCGAGACATTTCACGTGCCGTTCAAACCTCAGTTCTTTCTTCGACTCTCATGCCGCCCAATACAGTGACAGCCGTATGGGCGGATAGTTCTACGTCGAAATCCTTCGAGTTCAAGTCCGAAAAAATGCTCGAATTCTCGGCTCGTGCCCACCTCAACAAGCTAGTATCGCCGCTGCCTGCGGGACAATGCGAAACTCTGCCATGTAAGTAGAGTTATTGCTACTGTCTCATTAATCCCTACTTATATCTTCCCCAGCGGGCTCCTTGGAAAACGTTGAAACTGCTGCTGTTCTTTTCCATCCGTCTGGGACCACACTGGTGGATGAAATATTGAAGAAATTCACTGCAGTAACTGAGGTGCGACTTGCCAAAGTCGAAGGTGATCTGGAGAAAAAGAAGTCTGGGACAGAGAGACTCTTAGCTAAGATTACTGGCTTGGAGGGTAGGGAGGAGTCTCTTCAGAAAGAGAACCAGAGTCTGAAGGAGGAGCAAAGACAGGAGAGAGTGCGGACAGAGGGTAGAGAGAAGAGCCTCTTAGCTAAGATTACTGGCGTGGAGGGTAGAGAGGAGTATTTTCGGAAAGAGATCCAGAGTCTGAAGGAGGAGCAAAGACAGGAAAGAGTGCGGACAGAGGGTAGAGAGAAGAGCCTCTTAGCTAAGATTACTGGCGTGGAGGGTAGAGAGGAGTCTCTTCAGAAAGAGAACCAGAGTCTGAAGGAGGAGCAAGGACAGGAGAGAGTGCGGACAGAGGGTAGAGAGAAGAGCCTCTTAGCTAAGATTACTGGCGTGGAGGGTAGAGAGGAGTCTCTTCAGAAAGAGATCCAGAGTCTGAAGGAGGAGCAAAGACAGCAAAGAGTGCGGACATCCAGTCTGGAGGATGAGATTACACGGCTATCAGGAGATTTCGATGATTGGATTACCATTGGTGTTAGTCATCTTGCCGTCCTCCAACTCTGTCTTTTCATTCTTTTGTAGGATCCTCCACCAGTTGCTACTTTGGATGCTATAAGGCAGAGGAATTTAATCGACAATGTTCAGTCGCACTTCGCCACATTGGCACAGCTACCCTACACGCACAGAAAACTTGCTTCAGAGGCTTTTCGGAAAGCCATAGGCAATAGTTCAACTGAAGATCGTCTGGAGGCTGCCAAGGCATTATTGCACGGCCATTGTATTGATTTACCAAGTGACAATGCATTGCTTCTCTTGGTTGATGAATCCAAGCGCCGACTGGGTAACAATGTTGCTCATCAACGGTATAGTCGTGCCTGGTATCTGGAGATTGTTACAAAAGAACAAGGAAACGCTGAGCTTATAGATATTCTTTTTCCTAATCCCTGACTGTCATTTGTCTTTATGTAGTCTAATTCTTAATTGTGTATAGTAATGGGCAAACTGTTTTAATGTCTTCATAGTGTATATGCTATTCAGCATTGATTATTGATAATTTCAAAGAACACTTTATCCTTGTATCCACTGTCTGTCTGCCCCTTGATACATTGTGGTCAAAAAATTGAAGATTTCAATGATGACCTACTTATACCACAGATAGAAATATCCTGCACATTGTAGAATCTGATTATAAATCCCTTGATTTTAAGTGGCTTGAACATGTAGAATTTCCAAATTAATTCACATTCAAAAAAACACCCCTTTCCATCTTCTCAATCTCAATCAACAAGTTAATTCCCCTCTTCAATGCATCCTCATCCCACAGATTCCAGACATACTTGCTATGATCCATTGCCCAACTATATTGAACACCCGGATCATCTTGACACCAGTAAGCAGCCACAGCAATGACTCCTTGAACCATAATGTAACTAGCACCCACTTGCACCATGCATTTTCCGAGGTTAGCAACTATTGGCGCAGTACCAGTTGCGTTCACTTAATTTTTACTCATGAATGAACCCCAAATGGCAGAGCCTAGATTGACATTGATAATAAACCAATTGGAGAGCTGAGAAATTTTTTCATCAGATGGAGCACAGATATGAATGAAAGGGCACATCTTTTTATCTGCCACTCGGCGGGCAAACAGCCTTGTATCAAAGTTTTTGTAGAGACATGATCTACTACTGTCTTGTAGTCAAGCTGTGAGTAGATTTATCTTCTTGTCAGGATCTAATAGCCTATTCGAAGCGATGTAGCATTCTGAATCTATAAAAAAAGGCAAACTTAGTGACAAGAGCTTGAATTCAATGGCCTCTGCCAGTTCCGGAGGCGCAGAGTAAAGTTCGTTTGAAGATTGGGCAGGCGATTTGTCTACTTCACGGCCTAACCACACATTCTTGAAGGATGATAACTGGCCAAATCACCCCCGCTTTTGTTGGAAAAGATTTCTCCGAGAACCTGAGTAGCAACGACACACAATGTTGAGGCGTCCGCGTGGAGTTCCTCTTCTAGTTGAGGAATGACAGTCGGAAGAAGATTTGGAGATGACCGCGTGAAGACGCTTAACTGTAAGACCTGGGTCAAAATAGGTCTTAGGGTAGGTTTGGTATATGAAGTTTTATGTTGTAGCGTGCTAGGAGCAGGCTGGAGCTCGAAGGGAGCTACGAGAACCGCGACCGAGGACGGGAATGACCTAGTAGTGCCTGGAACGACGAGATGATGACCCTTGAGGGGGTTCCTAGGAGGTCCAGGGAGGTCCCTAAGGCGTAGGGAGGTTAAGGAAGAGTGCGGGACCGTACAGTATTGCGTAGTAGGAGTTGTACTCGCTAGAACGTCAATATAGGATCGAGTAGGTCGTATATGCAACTGGGTCTCGAGAGTGTAAGCTCCCGAGAAGGGATATGTCAGGGAGGGTAGGTCCCTGGGGGCTGAGCTGGAGGATGGACGTCCTCGAGTATGGGAGGTGGTAACGGAGAAGCAATACGTAGTTCGACGTGAGGGGTAGCTTCGACGTTACCTAGATCGAGGTCCCGAAGCTTACGAAGTAGCTAGGGAGCTCTGGGAGGTTTGGGGAAGGGTAGCTCACCAAAGCGGGTAGGCGTTGGGGAGCTTTAGTAATGTTCGAGGGAGCTCGGGGACTCACTCGGAAGGCTTAGACTTGAAGTGAAAGCGTATATTCGATCGTATAGATGATCAGAGAGACAATAGACAGAAGTAGAGAGAAACAGAGGTAGAGAAACAGAGAGTAAAGAGAAATCCATATGGTTAGCAGGTACAAAGGGACAGGGACTGGACCTATGCAAAAGGGTGTGTGTTCAAAATATACCAAGCTGGGGCTTGGGGACGTGTCAGAGCTACTTAAATAGGTACGGGAAGTGGACAAGGGAACATCAGGGGATCTAGTGAACATGAGGCGGTAATCGAGATTGATACTTAATGGAGTTGCTATAGGGGGTCCTGTATGCGCGCCGGGGAATGTACGTGTGTCGGTGAAGGACGTTTGGGTAGGTATATGGTGGTACTTGTGTGGGGAAGGTGCAGGATGGAAGTGCATGATGGTACTTGGGGAGGTGACTTGGGAGGTGTAGGGGAAGTGCAGGAGGTGTATAGAGTGTGTGACAACGTGTGGCGGGTACTGGGGCTGGTCTGGTTTTAGGCAGGGCATGACATTAACGAGGTCATGCGCGGTACGGATCTGCTCAAAATCCTCCTCCTAGGAAAGGAAAGAACCGACACGGTCCCATTGAGGAACAGCCGGGGCCCATGCTACATACATAGTGCCATTATGTATGCCATGGATGCTTGCAACTGACAATGATCATGATCAGCGTAAGGACACCATCGCACAAACACCAGTTGCAAGCATGATGTACTCTAAGTAGGGCACACGAAAGGTTTATATTGGACTGTTTACAGTAGATTGTATAGTAGATGAATACAAATCAGGGCTGGGAACGTAAGGTTCATGGCCAGAGAAAACATTGAGAACATCATAAACATATTTTGCGGTTACAGACATGACACGGACATCAAATAGTAGGCGCTTTAGAAAATCATAGTCAGACAGGGTTTGACGCAGGAGGGTAAGCTCTGGAGCAGCAACACCAATGTCTGCTAGGTACCGTTCATGTCATGAAGTACGTAGCCCTATCATTTTCCTTTTCTCACCATCTCGACGCCCTTACTTGTACGATTACATCACTGTCAAATCCCATCGATTACTGATCCACCTGACCCCCATCATCGATTACTGATCCACCTGTTACCCTTCTCCTTCTACTGGCTTCCGCCACCTTCCTTGTGCCTAAACTGTACAGTATTACATCGTCATTTCTCGCAGATCGGATTATGTATATAAAGCCAATCCCTCACAACCTGGTCCCTTATCTTGACCTCTCTGTCATTATCTGGGACCAGGTATGTGCTTACTTATTACTACCTATGACTGTGATACTCAATATATCTCTGTCATTATCTGGGACCAGTTTGCCTCCGCTCTGCTTAATCGCTCCGCCTCATCGCCTTGCTTAGTCACTCCGCTTTCCTGCTCCGCTAGTAACTCCGCCTCTGCCGCTTCGTGACATTAGGTCAAGATCCATTACTGCACTGACAGCCTACCGATAAGGTTGTCCTTGCAGGATCCGCATACATCACGTCTTATACACCTGTAGATCTTTCTGATCATACTGCTACAACCGATTGCTCCGCCCTCCAACACGCACTTGACCCCAGAGATCAGCACTACGCCCACAATATCGGTGATAGCTGGTACGACTGTGACTCTCAGCCTTGCCCCCACGCGCTCTCCAATTCAGTTCAGGACCCAACTACCGTAGAAAATATCACCTTCTTGCCAATTCCCCAACCCCGATTGCCTACTCCTATCATGTCGACTCCTATTCCACCTGCCACACCAGCTCCACCCGCCTCTGCAGAAGATCTCATGACTCAGCTCATTAAACAAGTAGCCAATCTTGCTACAGCCATGGAGGAACGCTCATCCTCTAAGTCCAGCATGAACAAACCCGAGGTATTCAAGGGAAAAGATAGTGCTGAGGCGCGTCGCTTCATGGCTCAGTTCCAGAACTGGGCATCGGAACAACCTGATCTCACCAAGAGTCAGGCAAAGCTTATCAAGTCAGCCCTAGGGTTCTTTACTGAAAGTGCGGGTGACTGGGCAACCCCGCATTTGCTACATTTCAATGCAGAACATCCCCCCTTTGGAGGAGATTGGGAAGAGTTCCTGAAAGAGTTTGTTCAATGCTTTGAGTCAGTAGACCCGGGTATGGAAGCTTGCAGCGAGATCAAAAATCTCAAGCAAGGTAAAGGCCAGACAGTCGCAGAATTTGCTCAGAAGTTCAAGGATATTGGGGATCGGACTGGAATGTCTGACATTGATTTACGGGAACACTTCTTCACTGCCCTACTTCCGGAGATCCGACAAAATCTCATCATTGTAAACATCACCCAAGGACTTGCTCCAACCCTGAAGGAGGCAATCAAACAAGCCATATCAGTGGATGTCTACATGCACGACCCCACCATGACTGGCCGAAACTCTGGACACGCTCCCACACATACCGCTCACACTACCCCTGCTGACCCCCACGCTATGGACAATGATGCAACCCACACTAGTAATGGGAACACTAGGGAGGCATTCCTAGCTCGCATGCGAGGACGATGCTTCGGCTGTGGTGCCCAAGGTCATGTCAAGCAAAACTGCCCACACCGAGAAACCACCTGCTGTTACTGTGGACGCCGAGGACATCTGGAAGCAGTCTGTCAAGACAAGTTCATGGGACTCGGACGGGACCGAGGCCGACGTCAGCAGATATCCGCCACGGGACCCACGCCATTCTCCCTGTTCCCAAATGAATCTGTCCAGATTGCTTCCTCGACCCCAACATCTGCTCCTGCAACCGTACCTGCTACTCCGAGCCCCCCTAACCAGGACTTTTCCAACCAGATTGGTCAAATAAAACAATTACTCGATCGTGCTAATGCTATGTCCTCCTCGTCCTCTGGCTTTCAACAGGGTTTTTAAAAAGGGTACCCGCTCCGGCTGCACCGAGAGTACCCCGTAATCAGTTTGTTATGTTTGCTACTTCTTCGTATGACTCGCACCCATCATGTACAATATCGTCGATCCGGGAATTAAACTCCATTTCCCCACACTGTAAGACCTGGGTCAAAATAGGTCTTAGGGTAGGTTTGGTATATGAAGTTTTATGTTGTAGCGTGCTAGGAGCAGGCTGGAGCTCGAAGGGAGCTACGAGAACCGCGACCGAGGACGGGAATGGCCTAGTAGTGCCTTGAACGACGAAATGATGACCCTTGAGGGGGTTCCTAGGAGGTCCAGGGAGGTCCCTAAGGCGTAGGGAGGTTAAGGAAGGGTGTGGGACCGTACAGTATTGCGTAGTAGGAGTTGTACTCGCTAGAAC